TAGTCGTCCATGAGCACAGAGGCGTACCTAACTCATTGGTTGTATGTCACCTACCATATGGGCCAACCGCATACTTCACAATTGCAGATGTAACTATGCGTCACGACATCCCTGACATTGGAACTATGTCTGAACAGTATCCACATCTTATATTTCACAATTTTACAACAAAACTTGGAGTGAGAGTAGCCAAAGTTTTAAAGCATTTATTTCCAGTCCCCAAAGAAGATAGCAAAAGAGTTATTACGTTTGCCAATCATGATGATTACATTTCCTTCAGGCACCACAACTACAAAAAGGTTAGTGAAAGCATAGCTTGTACAGTAGGACCTCTTTAATCCGAACTAATTGGGACCAGGGGAAGTTCGGACTAGGCTATTGAATAATTTGTATTAAGTTAAAGAACATAGGCTATTTGTTAATTTTGCATAACAATAGCTAAAACATGGCTAAGTTTATAGTGAATCGTATTTTTTACAGGAAAAGTGAAAAATGCTTGATAAAATGAAGTAAAATACAGTGTTCTTTTAATACAGCACATAGTAAACTCAGTGAATAGACAGTACAGTACAGCAGACTCCCTCTCATCCGTACACCTTTTAACCGGACATCAGTTTAACCGGACTACAGTCGACGGAAATGACATCTCTTTAACCAGATATAATTATTATCGGCACATTGGTTTAACCGGACTAGATCGGCAGGAAGTGGGCGGTACTGTAACGACTGTTCTTGTGGGAAAAATTTGAGACCAGTGATCACATGTCTAAATACAATGTTCTCTTAAATTTAAGTCGAATATCACCATAAACGGTCCATTTTAATGAGTTTTTGGGGACGTCGGCTTAACCGGAAAAACCGTTATCCAGACTGGCCTCGGTCCCGAGGAGTCCGGATAAGAGGGAGTCTACTGTACTGTACATTAAATACAGTAAACAATTACGGTGCGTTAAAAAAAAAATACGGTTAAACAGCTCCCGAGGCGGTGTTCGGATTAAGTTAGTGGACGTCTTAATTAGGCCTACAGGGGTTCGGATTAAAGAGGTACTCCTGTATACATTAAAAATCCAATCATCTAAAGAAATCTGAGTAGGCCTAGGCCTAATGCAATAAAATTAATATAAAACAAATATTCCCAAAAAATGTTGCTTGGAGGAAAATAACTAAAGGGCCAAAGAATTTTGATCTTTTTGTTTTATCCCCAGAATTTATTGTAGTAATAATGTCTAAATAATTCAGCAATTAAAAGTTGATGTAAGTTAATTAAGCTTAATTAGGCTATGTAATTAATTTTCTTAGTATTCCCGCAGATTTTATTTAAAATTAAGTCCAGCAGAGAACCTGTGATATAATATCGGATGAGTAATGATAAATATAGATTTAAATATCTCGATATTTATTCGGTTCAACATTAATATCGCTGTTCAGTATTCATTAGCAGGCCAGCTGATCATTGTGTGTGAGAGAGAGCATATAGCGAAATCCCCACATGGCCACAACAATACATTATAATCTTAACTGATTGCATTATTGTAAATGGCATTGCTGTGAAAAAAAAAATAAATAAATAATAATAAAATACAGTAATACAAATAAATAAGTAAACAAAAGTTTCCCCTTCCTTAAAAGCTGTACTTTTACCTTCTTCATATCGTTTTGTATACCTAACAATATCGGGGAAGCCTACACTTCCGTATCTGTTGTCAAAAACAACCGAAAGAGAAATTATTCGATATATTGATTGATATTTTCATTCGGTTGTTTTTGACAACAGATTTTTCATTCTTTTCTCCTCTTATTTTGTTTCATTCAATTAGGCCTAACTCTTTCTTTTGCTTGTCTAACCTATTAAACCCTTTAATTTGAATTTAAATTGTGTATGTGTGGGACTCTGAACTCTAAAAACTGTTGATTGAAGAAGCTATCTTTTCATCAGAAGAAACGTATACTTACATATGGTAAGATCTAACAGACCTTCCAGAACTTCATGTGTCGTAGGCCTAACAAAAACTATATCTAAATTAATCATCCCTTCATACAGTCCACTTTATTTTTTTAAAGTCTTCTTAGGAATACGCAAAAATTGCATTCAATTGTAATTTAACAATTGATATAAATAAAAACAATTACATAACAGCTTTTCCTTTATTTAATCCTAGTGTTTTTATTGGATTCCATTAAGAAGAAAACCATTGATTTACCATTTCTATGTGATTACCTTTTTTTAGTTTGCATTTCTTTATCATTTGTTATTGTATTCGTGATTACTTTTTTTGTTAGGCTACTTTTCATAAAATTTATTTTGTTTTTGTTAAATAGGCTACCCTATTGATAGTTTTACTTCTATCAATGAAAACTAGTAATCACTCAATTTGATGTTTTCATTGGGAAAAAATATTTTAATTGATGTATCACATTGGATAAATATTGATATTTATCGTTATTCACCCGATAATATATCACAGGTTCTTTTCAGAACTGTACCCAAATATCAACCCAATGGCAAATTGTTGATAGGTATCCGACTTCATCTTATTGAGAAATAATGGCCAAACGTACCTTAAATCTTGTGTAGTGTCGTTTGAAACTTTACGTTTTGACGGTTTTTCTATAGCTCTGCCATCAGTAGGCTAACAAAAGGATCCACTTCTGGAGGTGTCGTGAGAATAGTTAACTTAAGTTATAAACAGTTTACACGTAGGTAACACAAAACCGATCAAGATATAGTATCCTTTTGTGAGCCTGACGATGACAGAGTTATAAATACCCCTGCTGCAGCAAACCCGTAGACTACACGAATTTCCATTTGCTGTATTTGATTATCATTTAAATAGAATTAGGTTTAGCGAGTACCAGGGTTTGCTGTTACAGGGAGGGTAGTAACTAAAAGTAGGCCTAATTTGCCAAGTTAGATCAAAATATATTTATTTTTATTTTTAAAAAAGAGGTTGGCGGCCTCTTTTAACCTTGCATTTGCCCGTCCACATGGGCTAGGCGCCTGTGCGTGGATCGTTTACAGCAAAGCAAGGAGTGAGCCGGTACAGTACAAAGGTGAACTGTACTGATAAAATGTGATCGGCAGTGACCAGGATCCGAACCCACGATCCGAACGACATCGCTGCCTTGGGCCCGAAGTCCACGACGCTACCGACTGAGCCACCGACTCACTAGATCCATAAACAAGCAAACTAAAACCGTCGACTATTCTTCATAAGAATAACATGGGAATTTTAAATTTACAAAAAAATTAATATTGTGTCCATTTATACTGATTTAAAAATGTACCTATCTCATGATTCAAATAATGCTTACTAAACAAACAAATTAGGCCTAATAGTCTAGAACTAGACTAGGGTATGTTGCTAGCCTAGTGGTTATGATGGACAGTACGAGAAGGACCGGTTTGATCCCTAACAATCCAAAATAATTTGAGAAGCAATCCCTTGAAAGTGTTTGTGATTCTAAAATAAAATGCCACTTCCTCAATAAAAAAACTTTCAGGTACAGGGGAACGTTGAGATGTCAGAAGTGGGTCCGAGGTTCCAGCTGAAGTTGTACGACCTCAAGTTGGGAACGCTTGACACTGCTGACACAGCCGAGTCTGAATGGACGTTGCGGCCGTACATGAACACATCCTACAAGCGGAGGTTCTTGTCACCAGACGACGGATGGAAACAGGACGACCTTTCTGTTACTGCCTAAGCTGTATTTTTGTAATAAATTTTTATAAACAAATTCAAGTCATTATTTATCCTATTTTTCTATTAGATGACAATTTGTATATTAGGCCTGTTCAAAAAATATATATAAGGAAAGGTAAAAGTGGCTTTAATTCAATTAATTTGTTTTATGGCGAGACATGGTTTCCTTTTTTCATATTAAAAGGAAACAATGTTAGTCAGTTCAGATTATTTCTATTTAATGTTAATTTTTTACACTAATCTCGATCATCGCTCCTGGACTGGGGGCTGCTGCAAGGTACTATATTATAAATATGTTGAAATATTATCCCTTAATCCCTTAGAATTAAATATTGAAAACTTTCAAAATATATAGTAATCACCCAAGAAGCACATTACACTAAAGCAATTCAATCGTTTTAAAGCAATCAGGTTTTACGCAAGCATGACAAGTTGATGGAATGTGTAGTTTTTTAACCAATGGTTGTATCTGCCATGTGAAAACGAGTCAAGTTGAGGCACCTCAAGATTAACGAGCACAATTAAGGTCGTCCTGACATGCTGTCTGAGTAATTGGTATTCAAAGATAGTAGCTCTCTGTCAAATTAGTGGTACATTACCACTACTGTACCACTAACGGTTTTTTACGCTTGTGAATTATACCATAGACAAAAGATTTAAATATAGACCGTCAGCTGTGCTGCGGTTACCATAGGTTCTGGCGCATACCGCTTGGAGCACCACGGTAGTTACGGCGTAAGCGCTACGTAAACTACAGCGGTGTGCGCCGGAACCTATGGTAACCATGGCAACCGCAGCACGGCTGACAGTCTATATTTCATTCTTTTTGTCTATGATTAAACTAACTATTATAATATATTAGCCTTTTTGAACATTTAAATTTAAGTTATTCATTTCAAATTGGTCTTTGTTAATTCACCCTGTAGCGATCCTGTTTTATCAAGATAATGGAATGAAGGATATTGAACTATTATGGAGTCCCTGGAAGACTTGATTATAAAAACAGAGAAGTAAGATACAGAGGAAACTTTCAACTGTATTATCTTGCGCCGGAATTACACTCATGACGAGCAAGGAAGAGCCCAAGCAGTGAACACTGAGCGAAAATTTGTATCAAACGGCGCAGGGTCTTCCTCCACCATGAGCGTTGTAGTACATGTAGGTGAGGGTTTGTTGGACTGCGCCCTAGACACCAGCACTAGTGCTAGACACCACAAGTGTACCATTGAATGTTTCCTCTTACCTTACATCTCTACATTTTAAGAGATAACATAAAAGGAGAATATTGAAAACTGTGTCTACACCATAATATTTACTGTTTATTAAAATTACACATTAAATATAATCTATGACTTGCAGTTAAAACCACGAATAAGTACCTGAAACAAAACAAAGGAAAATTGTCGATCAATTTTCATATTTTAAATAGCCTACTTAAAACAACACTTTAACTTATAAGCTTCTGTCAATAATAGCCATTCTTCCGGCCACTTTTTTACAAATACACTTACAAATTGTGTACGTGTTTGACAAAAGTACACAGGTTTTATACAAGCTACTTATTAACAAAATATAATTTTAATAATGCAGTTAGACTTTCCGTCCTACTGTAAATTCTTGAAAAGTAAATGTATTCACTTACCTAAAACTACGATCTTTCTTCTGCTCTTGCTTTCATCCTTGTAATAAAAGCTTGACCCTTACTTTTACGAAAGTTTTCGTATGGATCATTCAGGTTTATTCCAACGCCCTTGTATTGGTCAATTCTATCTCGGATCTGGAAAAATATAATGAGTTAATGATTTTATTGACTGGAAAATCTGCATTATTAAAATCCTAGAACTCTAATTATAGGAATAATCGGCCAAACAGATTATCTTATGAAAATATATTTTAGATGTAAACATAACATATTTTTGTTACAAACTAGAGGTTGGCCAGTGGTCGAAAACTTGACCAAAAATATCTAATGTATAGACCTCTATTTTCACCATTTACCCCACACTGTAAAAAAAAACATATGATTGGAATTTCTTCCATTTGTTTTGATTTTCTGTTAATATTTCGTTACTAGCTGGCAACCCATAAGGCCCAAGTAAATTTTTGTTACTTTAAACTCATTTTTGTGTATTTTTTTTTGCCTATTTTACCTTATAAAAACGGATTCTGCACATTTACAGGAAAATATCTTTCTAACAGTATACGTAGATTTTCCCTGCGTTGAACATGAACTGAGAAAAAAGGTTCTCATGAAACATACTTGCCTATAATATATATAGGACACATATGTATTACAACATTTGAAATTTAAACCTAAGTTTATTAGAAGGAGTTCAAGCTCCCGTACCAGCATTACTACAGGAATGGGGTTTTATGGGGTAAAAATTGGTTTTTCCATTTTCAACCCTAAAACATAAGATGTTGCAATTTATTTCTAAACCATTTTGTAGAGCTTAAAAAACAAATATTATGTACATTCAAGTGTCGTTTAAATATTTCAGTGGAAATTCTAACAGGTAAATGGAAATTCACTTAGTCTGCAGCAGGGGTTATTCTAAATACATCAGAAGTAGCAATAGATGGTCAAATCCTAAACCAATTGACATCACTAAGTTGAAAACATAGATAGACATTGATAGATAGATGGCAAAACTTCAATCTTTAGATGCACAACTTACTGCAAAATAGAGTAGGAGTAAAAATCCAAGATAATCAATTTAAATAGTTCAGCATATAATACCTCTCCGCCGGAGATGGGCGCCTCGATGCCCTGTTCCTTCGCCCCCAGCCCTGCACCTCCCCAGCCCATCTTGCGCAACATCTGGTGGCCCTTGTTGCTCTCGTCTAACTTCTCCGTCGTAGGATTTCTGTACGGCTGTCTGGAAGGAAAGGAAAAAAAATTTAATTTATAATCTGAAATTATACAATATTATATTGGGGAGGAAATTTAATTAAACTTTAACCATCAGAAATTGTCTTATAATGTAATGCAGATTTGCTTTAATTGGTAAATCATCATACTCAGCCGAACCTGCGAGTATATCCATAAGTGATGCTCCAATGGAGACACCAATTAAAAGAGGGAATGTAATGAATAATTTGAAAATTGTATTTAATAATTTAATCATTATCTGAGAAAAAAGCAAGACCCTATATTCTTAGTTAAACTGAGACAGGGTATACTTATGGGGTATATTTATAACAGCTAGTCTTTTCACCATGAAAAAAGAACAAAACCAGCAATGAAAAAAACCTTTTGAAAATAAATTTTACCGGCCAGAAATATCAAACTTAAAACATAACAGACGTACATAAATGAAGCTGGAGGTGGTGTAGGACTTCGCTCTTTATTGACTGGTGGTGTCCGCGACCTTGACCTAGACCTAGACCGAGACCTGTCCCGTCGACTTCCTGTCCGACTTCTACGAGCTTCTCGTCGACTGCTGTTGCTGTTTCGACGTGGCGGACTCCTAGACTCTCGACCCCGAGACTTTGATCTGCTCCGACTAGAACAGTACAGAAACATAAATGATAGTAAAATACTATAATCTACTTAAATCAGAAAGCTACAGTTTCGATTCCAAACGAGGTTGGACACAGTTACTGTTTATCGACTACGATGCTATCTTACAAAACATGATCGCCATTTAGGAAAAAGACCACTGTTTTGACTGTTCCTTTAAAAAAATGCCAAGGAAGATAACATTTAAAATTTTTAAAAGTAGCGAAATATAAATAAACATTATTTTGTAAACTGAATACTGAAAAGGCAAACTATTAAAAAGGAATGTGAACACATAATTCATTGAATAAAAACCCGGTTTACACCCTCAAAATCCAATTTAAGGTGGAAACTATATAGAGAACGCTTGTTATACATAGTATTCAGATGCATTCTGGGATTTCTTGAAGCAAGGTTTTTACTGCTTAATGGTGGGAGAAAGTAGTGTGGGTAAATTTCGGGAATTTAGATGTCACAGAATATGCATCATAAAACTACCAAGTAATTTGCCATAAGGTGTATCAATAAGTCATGCATGATAATGATGAGTATTTTAGTTAAGTTAGTTTTATCAAATTACTCTTGACGCCATTCCTGTATTTACGTATTGTACTTAAATGAATTAAGTTATATGAAATGAAATGAAATAAGTACAACTTTATCTGTCAGTGGTATATCTTCCTGAAGGAAGAAATGTAGGGACAAGACTGATTAAAATAGAAGCAACTTAAAATACCTATTAATTTGGCTACTAAGATAAATCCACACAGAAATAATTTTCATTGGTGGCTAAAAGACCCTAAAGCTACAAATAGCTTACAATATATTTAAATACTGTAGATAACTTTTGACCCTTTCAGTGCTATGCGACGATATATCGTTGTGTGTCTTTTTCCCGAAAAGTGCTATGGGTTGATATATAGTTATTTGCGATTCATAAAAAAAAAGTGCTTAGCGACTTATGCCGCCGCGACTTTCGATCTTGGGAGTTTTAATGGGCATATCGGTTGACTCGGTTATTTTTTCGAAACAGCGATGGTTTATTTTGATTCCTCATACGATTGAGGCCCAATATATTGTTCCTTAGCACTTTTGGGATTTTTTTCTCATACACTAGACTTTGCCCCCGTGGTAAGCCTAGCACTTTTTTAGCATTGAAAGGGTTAACAGCATTTACCTTATAAATTATTATAAATGCAAAGAGATAAATCCACACAGCATTTACCTCCGATATCTCTTCTTAGAGGGAGGTGTTCGGCTTCGTGACCTTGGCCTGGTGATGGGAGAAGGAGACCTCGATCTTTCTCTGATCCCATTTGAGATGTCATCTTCTTTCCTCTTCTTAGCAGAATTTTTCGCTCGGTAATACTCATACAGACCTAATTTCTCCCAGCCGTCACTATGGAAGCAATTTATGAATTAATTAATTGTTTAAATTATTGTTAAGGAAAAAAAAGCACCAGTTAAAACTACCAACAATTAGCATACGGTAGTTTATATTCTACCAAATTTTATAGCTAGGCGTAATGGCACAAATCCCAGAACAATCACTTAAGAAACAACCAATAGATGTTAGAAAATGAGATAAAACTGCACAAAAATATTTAGAATTACCATAGCTTAACATAGGAACGGTTCCGGTTTGTACTATTTAGAAAACAAATAATAGCAGTTCTGCAACTAACTGCAGACAATCCTTAATGACATTTCCATTTGTGTTCACCCAGAAACAATAACCAAAAAATGGAAAGGTGATTGCAAAACATGAATATCCAAATTCTAACAGTCTGCAAACTCAAGACGGAGCGTCCTAAAGGAGTTCAACTAAAATCCGCAGAAAACATAGTACATCAAGTCTTCTCTAAAGAAAATTCAGACAAAACGTTGCTTGGAAAAATAGGACAAGTAATATAATTGATCAGCCGATTTCTGTAAAAAAAATGTTTACTGTGATAGTTGTGTTTTGATTTTATGTTAAAAGTAAATGAAAAATACTAAAATTTGATAAAAATAATAGATCAGATTTTTATTTAAAAATATATATATATGACCACTTTTTTCCAGTCTTTAGTTGAAACATGTTAAAAAGCACGTGTGTAATTTCGGTACCTGTCCCGAGGATGGTCGTGGCCAGGAGGAGCGTAGAAAGATTTGACAGCAGCCAACAGTCTCTCACTAGGAGGCGCTGGTGGAGGTAGTCTGATGGACTCGGGATCCAAGGGTTTGTAGTGGCAGTCTTCTAGCTGCAGGCACAAATGTGTTGAATAGCCAATGAGTTTTACTTCCCAGAATTGCATCACATTACTTTTTAAATCCAACAAAAAAGGTTAAGAATGATGTAAGAATTTGTCAAATTAATATTACTTAGGCCAAATGATTCTGGGTGTTAAAATATACATTCAATACCATGTTAAAATTGTAGCTAGTATTAGAATTTTGAACAAAAAGGCAGTTAAATAAGCCACCAACAGATGGTGCTGATGTGAATAATTAACTCCTGTCGAAAATGCTAAATCTTTCACCAAACCAAACAGAAAGGAAAACTTTTGAACATCTGTAAGCATCTTTCATGTCACAACTGTCAAAGAAACAAAACTTAGGATAGCAAATATAATTTTATTTTAGACGAAAACACTATGCAAACACACTGTGTTTAGCTATAAAAAAATGGCTACAGCTGTCCATATGGAAGGGATGCCTACTACAGTATCCAAAAGTTAATGTTTTCTAGTTGAATTACCTTAATTAGAGGAACCATAAGCCCCGCTGGGAGATCATAGTAGGGGAGTGAGGGTAGCAGATCATCTGGCATGACCTCAGGCTGCATGATGGGGGGTGGCGGGGGGAGGTGGAACCCAGGTGGGGGTCTGGACAGATCTGGCAACTCTATACCTGGCCCCGCTGTACACAACATCAATATACATTAATATGTGATGTTTATAAAACAATTAAAATTGCTTTATGCTATATATTCAAACAAAGTTCAGACAGTGCAGTATTATAACTGCCATTCCTCTTCTACTTATTCCGGAGAAGCTCCGATGTAGGGCTGAAATATCAAATTAATTGTGTTGTAAATTGCTCTTGTTACTGGAGACCTCCTTCCTAACAGTAACAAGTTTCTTTAATTAGTAAAACTAGTAGAGGAGGCATAGTTACTAATAGTAGGCTATTGGATATGTTTATGCTCATGTTACTGCAAATCTCTCTTGATCCAATTGTTAAATAAATGAGTCCTAGTTTATCCTGTACCCTTGTAAAACGTGTTACTTTTATTATACACATAGCATGCAGTAATATCTTAAAATTGTTTTAAACTAATTTAAAAAATCTAGAATCATAATGGTTTATGTTTACTAGAATCATAACTAATCAAACAAAAATAGTATGATAATACTGAACAGTACAGTTTGGGAAAATTGACAACTTGAGAAACACCCTATACTACACAAGATTTATAAAACACAAGAGAACTGAACTTATCTAATTAATAACATTAAAACATTGAGAAAAACACAATCACTTACGAGGAGGAAATGTGGGTAAGAATCCTGGGGGAGGTTGGGTGAACTGGACACCCAAGTCAGGTGGAGCAGTCGGGAACCCGGGTATCCCGTCGATCCCGGACTGAGGCAGTCCGTGGTCTGGAACAACACACCTCTTGTAACTAAATGGGTTTTTACAATACCCGTCATTTAGTTCAAAAAGTAACTATCGTGTTAATTGTTTTGCCGAGATGCCATTGTCAAACACTTAAATCAAGTGAGTACATTAAATCCGCTTGATTAGCTGTGTTGATTAATTACGGACACACATTCAACACACAATACATGTGACATGGTATCAAATTGCTTGTAAAAGAAAAAGATAGGCCTATCACAGAAACATATAGACCCTTGTGCTCTATGTTACATCCTATATTTATTTCATCTTAAATACCTGCAAGTATTATTATGTGTACAAATTGACAAATTATTTACACACTAGCCAATTCATGTCAAGGATGGGGGCTACCACGGATGGCCCAGACTGGTATTTTAAAGCCATTTAAACATCTAGAACAGTGTCAAAAAACTTCCTTTACATTTTTAAGACAAAATGTATGTTTTAATTTAATATTACAGGGGGTCTTTAGCCCCTATAGCCAGACCCTTGCAACCGCCACTACCCTTCTGCAGAGGAACCTCTCATGGTTTTGTATGGCTAACCTAATGTTGCAACAAACACATAACTAGTATCTGACCACAGCTTACCTTGAAGGTGGTTTGTGGAGCCCAGACTATGGTTCTGCTCAGCTGTCATCTGGCTGATTGCCTGTTGCTGCAGTTGCAACAGCTGTTGCTGAGACTGTTGCTGAGGCAACAGATGCTGAGGTGGTTGGGAGATCAGCTGATGTTGCAACAGCTGATCTGGCTGGGTCGTCACACCTGTCAATCATGTCACTGTGTTGTCAAGCTTATTGAGTACGGTATGAGAAATATGTTACAACTATGGAGCAGTATGGTATGGAGCAAATTAATGTATGAAGAAAAAAGCTGTTACCATTGCATTAAATTTTGGATGCTGAAGTAATGGACCAGCTGTAGCCTATTTTTTATTAAAAACATAGTTGATTGTGTCACTCTCACAGTGTGTTGCGGTCTTAAATAACGTTTTCTTTTGTAGTTGTTTGCTACTTAGATAGTTGCTGTGACTAAAGATGTCCTATTAGGTTGACTTGGTAAGAAAATTGGCATAATCAACATAGCTCAGTCTGTCATAGGCTCAATTTGTCCATTTTGATTCTAAATCTTTTATTTAAGAGGTTGGCGGCCTCTTTTACCTTGCATTTGCCCATCCACATGGGACAAAGAGGCATGTGCGTGGAATGTATCCAGCAAAGCAAGGGGTGAACCGGCACAGTACAAGGGCGAACTGTACTTATAAAAAACATGGAATTAGAATGTCTAGTTTTATAAGTAGTCAAAGCCGTTACTCACCAGGAGGTTCAGTCGAAGGTAGACTGACGGCAGCGCTTGCCGCTAGAGCTGCGGCTGCTTGGTTTTGACTCTCAAGTGTCTGTTTTTGCTGTTCTATCGTCTGTGCACAACGTAAATTGGTATTTAAATGGGCCACATTGAAATAGATTCTAAATAGTGGGAACAGCAATAACTAAAACATTGCAATTTTAGGTTCTCAGAGATTTTGAGTGAGAATAGCAGTTTTAGAACAGAAACAACTAAACACTGCATAAATAAAACATAGGAATATTTCAATGTGACTGACAGCATTTTTAACAAAGAAAGAGAGGAGTTTTTAGGCCTATTGGTGGCTAGGAAGTTATTGAAACAGTCCTGTAATAGTAGCCTGTTTTTGTACTCTATACATCCTAGACTTATTCAGATAATAGGACATAGACCTGTTTGTTGACTGGGCTCAATTTACCTTTGTTTAAAATTTGAACACACTCCGTTTAATAGTTTTTGCATCTATACAGAACAAAAACGTAGACCCAACCTCTTTATCTAAGATACTACAATGCAAAACCAACTAGATTCATGGTTTGATGTGTAAAAGAGAAAATGTATATCTATCGCCTGGGTAGCAAAGTGAACTTGTCTGTAAATCCGGAAGGTGTCAAAGGTGGCTAGTGCAATTCCAATTTAAATTTATTCTCCACTCAGATGTCATTTGTCGTTGGGCTATCAAATCAATGGTGAAATCTAACGATGATGAAGAAGCAAAAAAGGTCAACAATAAATAGTAACACAAGACAAGGGTTTTAGCCACTCCCTTATGAACTTTAAACTACCGAGGTAGATGAACACAGATAAAAAATGTTGTCATACAACTCAGCTTCACGATTTAAACCAGTGGCTAGGGATCGCCCACCTGTATCTGTTGCAGCGCGTGTGTCACAAACGCCTGGTGCTGACTCTGGTAGCTGTGGAACGTTGTCTTTGTGTTGTTGGTGATGTTCTGCACCGCGTCGTTGTGTTGACTCCTCAACTCCGCTTTGTACTGCTGCCACGACTCTACCGGAGTCTTCAGCTTTGCCACAATCTCGGGCGAACAATAGTGGTGTTTCGTCTCCCAAAGGTTGAGCAGCTGTGAGAAAATTTTTTTTTAATTTTGCAAATTTACTTAATTACTTAGTAAGTATCCTACATGTAGGATGTTTATTTACAATCCTATAAACTGAGGAAGTATGGTTTATTCAGAGTGTATAATTTGACAAACACATTAGTAGACGAGATTTCAGAATAAGCTGAACAGTATTTTAAGAGATAATAGTATTCTATGGTGAAATACAGTTAATGGTTTTTTTTTACCGAAACAAAAAAAGAACTCAGTCAAATTATAACTACTCTTTCTCAGTGACCTCTGGTCTCTTACCACAAAATATTGCAATTATTTGTAATGATTTTACATTTTTCCTTCTGTGTACTAAAATAATAACTATATATTTGTAGGGTGCGTTTCTCCTTGTCGCCTTACAAATAAGATCTTTTTACTGCAAATTCTGTTCCGGGTTTTAAATAAATCGCGAAAGTTTGGAGGTTACACACAGTAGTGTTGTCTGCTTTTTCCTAAACTTTTATATTTTTAATAAGCAACCTGGGTTTTCCAAAATACTTGTAAGTGCACCCAATGGAATATTTACTAATACACCACTGTTTACACAACTACACTTAAACCAACTTTAAAATTAGGCAAAAGACAGCTTTTAAGTAGGCCTACAATTCATTCAAAAAAACTATTGTGTTAATAAACAAAAAATTATAAATTTGTCTAGGTTAAACAACTCATTAACCCTACTTCAGTTTAATTTACCTTGTTCAATTTTGCTTTTTGTTCTTCAGTAGCATTCATGGACGCTGCATTACAGAACATCGGCACAACCACTAACTCCAAAGCCTTCTTTAGATCTTCTCCACTATTCTTTCTTGCACTTAAATAAAAGAGAAGACTTTTATCAGTGTAAATTATTTAGTACTTAACAATATAATATTTACAATTAATTATTTTGCCACATGAATGGTTGATATTAATCATGTCATTGCAAAATTGCAATAAAACTATAAATAAACGTAATTATTATCAATTTTGTTTGTTTCAGAAAACATAAATAGTTTGTGACTTCTAACTGTGACATATTCACATAACTACAATTACACACTTTTTACACCTAGGTTTACTTTAGATTTTACTTTCCAATAATGAAACAGGTTTTTTCACTAGGTTCTACCCTATTATATTCTAGTAAACCTTACTTCAGGCAAGGTCTGGCAATGGTCACAGCATTAGCCTATCACTTAGAGAAAATCCATTGGTGATTGGCAGGATTTTAACTCGGGACCTTGGGGACCCTAATCCCGAGCTCTACCGCTGACTAGCTCACTCCCCAATGATAAATTAAAAATTTCTTTAGCATGATTTTCCCCCCATTATTCAATCCCATAATATGTTATATTGATTGAGGCAACAATACTCACATACTAGTAAATGTTGACATGTACAACAATCACAATCTATATATATAATACGCTAAGCCGATTTTTGTAAACAGAACTCCTCCCACAATTTTGGACCGATTTTGATGATTAAAACGTCAAAAAAATGGCCCTGATCTGTAGTTTTGCAAAGTGTTTTTGGTTTTTTGAAATCTTTATTAGTTTGGGCAGGATCTTCCATCAAAGTTGGGTTTTCTCCCTTAAGATTAACATGGGGAAATCTAAATAATTAAATGGAAACTTTGTCTCCACTAATTTGAGAGAACGGCTGGACGTAGAAACTTGGTAGAGGTCTCCAAAGAAAGGTCTTGGTCTGTAGATGAGTTATCAAAAGAAACACGAAGTAAATTCCCTTAGGGCTCTGCCCCAGAAGCTTTTAAAGATAGCGTGACACATTTGTTTACATTTTGGCCATGTAGATAATACTGTTTCATGAAACAGCTGTTGATTTTTCAATTGTGTTTTAAACAACACACATTTAAGTTATTGGTAGTTACTAAATTGTCCAAAAGAAGTATTTGCAATGCTATTTTCTGATTATAACATTTATTTTCTTCTGTATCATGTCATGTTTTGCAATATAACATTCCATTACGTGTGGATATTCCTTTTATCACAGAACTCTTACAATAATTTCTTATTGAACTATCTTATATCTGCTGTACGGGTTGTTGTCTGCCTTTTCCCCCACTTTTGCTTATATTTTATCATATTATTATACAGATCGTCATAGGTTCACGAGATTATTGTTGTACATGTTTTCAATCATTGGAAAAATTATACAAGTGCAGAAGGGCACGTTGCCCCCAGTGTCCATATTTTGCTAAATTAATAGAAGTTTACAGCAACTGGATAAAACAATTTACACTATTTATGTAGACATATCTGGCCTAAAATGGTACCTATCTTGACAGATAATTTGAAGTGATCTATATTACAGACCGTGGCTCACTGGGTTGTTAACATGATTTAAAATAACATGCCATTTTGGCTGTAAAAAAGGCACAAAGAGTAAATCTATATATATAATTCCGTAAGTCACATTTTTGTAAAGAAATTGTGAGTGACTGGATGGCCGTAGAAGGATGGGAGGGGTCTTATTTTAAAGGTCTTGACGTGAATTTTGAGGGAAAACTATTCATTTTTCTTAATTATGCACCAAAAGGTTATTACGGAATAAATTAATTTACATTTAAATAGCACGGGAATCTAAGTCCTGTCTGCTTTGTTTACTTTAAATCATGTGGTTTAACTTTATTTAAAGCATATGGTAATTTGTAATATGTACCGTACTGTGCATGGTGGAAGAAAAACATAGGTGTGCTATTCCCGTCATATTCTGACGTCACTCGGATTGCAAACAAAAGATCACCTGATTGTAACTGTCAAATTAGTATGTATTTATTTTGATTTGATTGTTATAGTTATTTAACTGTGTATACTATTATAAAGCTTAAATATACTTTTTCCCAATTTTAAGGGTCTGGATTAGTTAATGGAGTACGATTGGTTGTGTTAGGTTAGGTTAGCATGTCCAAAAATAGTGTAAAGTTAGAAGGAATTACTGGAGTAGGCTAGGCAAAGAGGGAGCATATTTTTCATGCCAAAAATAAAATTAATACCGTATCAACCAATCCGAGTTTAAATTTTCTCTTGAAAAATCGCTGTTACTATAAATAAAGCGCAAGGCCAAACCTTCACAAAAGTTGGCAATTATTTGAAAAAAAACTGTGTTTACCCAGTGGTCAACTTTATGTTACTTTAAGCCGGGTGATTTTACATTTTACAATTTGGAGGATGACATTACCTCTATGTGTTTTTTCGAAGTGAATTTGTATATATTCAAAGAAATTTATATAGATTTAATTAATAGTCATGAAAATTACTATTGAACATGTTCCTTAGTTGTATTATGATTAGAAAGTTTATATTATAAACACACTGCATGAACAGTCCTTTGGAATTTTTATTTTAAACAGAGCAGACATATACTTTATGCAGCTATGTAATGACTAACTATTATAACAAATAAAAATGTTAAACAATAATTCAAGGTAGAGGGTATCCCATGAGACTAATAATTTGTACAAAATACTAACTAGAATAATAGGGGCTATTGCCCCTACAAGCCACTAGTACTATTTAAGCAGCTACTGTCATGACAGAAAGGTCATATTCCTTTTAAACTTGATCACATCATCCTTTATAAGATACTTTTTTGCATGTATGAAAACGTCAATATTGACGTAACAGCCAATTTACAGTATTTATTGCTTTTTGGAAATGCGGCATTGTTATGTAATTTGAATGATTTGTTGCCAATGAAGCCGCACAACCATATAAACGAGGAGGTCCCTAACAGTTTAAGAGAAAAAGCCAACTTCACTTCAAGTATATTCCACTAGATCCACTAGATCCCAACTTTCCGTAGATGAATAGCTTAATCCTTGACAGTGACCGTCGATTTCGACGGGTTTCACCTAGTCAGTTCTTAATAGTCTAATAAGTTACAAGTTTTAATAAACTCACTTACCAATGATGCAGAATATCATTGACAAGATATATGATGTGTAGTTTATGGTTAAAGGTTCTCTTATCTTCAAAAAGCCTGGAAATGAATTAACACATTAATAATTTAAAGTTAAGATACATATTCAAAAACACTTTATTTACAGAAACAGCATGAACATAAACTGTGTTAGTTCTACTAAGAGATAATGTTAAAAATTCAGATGGACCTACCAGATTCGGAAGAATAGAAAATCGTGTGTTTAGAGATTTTGCTTTTGATTTCATTTTTATGTAGTCTCAATCACTTAAACGTATAAATATGAGGTTAAATTACGTTGATTTTGTCTAGTGATTCCTATTATACCACCTCTATCTACAGCTCGTGACATCTAAGCTGGCACTCGCTACTAGTATCTATTGGCTGATCGCTACTAGTATCTAGTTCAAAAACATTATGTCCTGTCATGCGGGTTGCATCAACTGTCCTCGCGACCCATATGAAGGTGCTCAAGTAGGCTACATAATACAAGGGGAGTCAACCCCGTGAGGCAGCGGAAATGTTTGCAGTCCGGTCTTTTCCCTACCTCCACCCTCCTCCCGCCTACACTGCCCAGGTCAAGTGCCAGCCTAGATGTCACGAGCTGTACCCTTGGAGATATAATAAGAATCACTAGACGAAATCAAGATAATTTATCCTTTTATTTATTTGCTTTTTAGATGAAAAGTTTTTTCTGTGAATTTTTTTCTTTTATTACGCATAACAAGAGTTATGTTAATGATAATGATAGCAATACTGCTCTTATTTAAGGTACTAGAGTATTATAGATGCAATTTTATTTTAATGTAGTAGTTCCGGGGGTCTCTGGTGGTTTAGTTTATTTACTAGAAAGTCGTATGAAACTACTCACTTAGACAAAAGGTAGGAAGCAATAACGCTATTTATCTTCTTGCCAGTCGCCCTTTGCAGTATCCAAGCTTTCCCAGAAGATATGGAATCCTTGGTGCAGGAATCAATAATTGGCTGCAGTATTGCGTCCATCTCGGCAAAGTTGAGACTACATTCGGTCGCCTCGGCATTCATATGTTCTTTTTGTGCCTTTTGAATTGCTTCTTCAATCGCAACTTCCTGCTGTTGCATAAGCACCTGCAAAATTTGAATGTGTTTGTAGATCTTGACATTTTGTTGAATGTACATTGTGTGATATACATTGTATCTTTTGGAGATTTCTAGGGGTTTTCAAAAATTTATAGTATCAATTCTTTTGAGATTTATTGTATTTAAAAATCTAATTGCTAACATACCTATTCAAAATCATCAAAAGTTTACTGTTTGCTATTGTAAAACAATGTATCTTCCAATGAAATGTATCTTCCAAGTTCAGACAGGGGCGGAAAACAATTTGTCTACTCGTTATGGTAAAAAGTCATACTATAGAGAAGCAAAAGACTAATTTCTTGGTAGGCGGTGGGCTTACTCAATCATCCACAGGGAGGGTGGAATAACATGAACAGTCGGCAGTAAACTGAAGATCAAATAATAAAGATTCTACTATATATATTACTAGCTGTACCCACGGGCTTTGCCCCGTTTAACTTCATAAGTATTCGCATGGCTCAATCACGTCCCGGTTGAAGTTCGTTCGCTACGCTCACTCACCTTCAGATTGGAAATCGTTCGCTGCGCTAACTTGTTTTCAGGTTAGCTCGTTCGCTACGCTTACTCGCCTCCAGGTTGATGTTCGTTCGCTACGCTCACTCACCTTTTGGTTGCAAATTAGCTGTTCATAACATGCTGTCATACATTTAAAAAAGTCATCCCTTTTATTGTTTATAATACAGTACTTTTATAAAGGTTTTTATGTTTTAATATTTAACATTGGAGAATTTAAACGTTGTTAAGTGCACAGGTGTGCTGCGATTGGGGTTTAATACATTTGGACTTATTTAAAAGTAAAATAGTTTTCTGTGCTGCAATCTGTAGAAACACTGTGGCACTATTTCAAATCATGACTAATGCTAATACAGAATGTTGTAGTTATTCAAACGTACAAAACAGTTGGTGAAAGTAAACATCTGCTTTTAAATTATATTTATTTGTAAACATTCTAGATCAAAAAGTCTGACATTGGCCCACTTAAAACCCTCTGGGGCAGAGCCCTTTTGACGGATCTGCACCAAACTTCACTCGAACCATCCTTGAAAGATGCTTAATAATGCCTGAAAGTTTCATTACAATCTGTCGAGCGGTTTCGGAGTCCATAACGTATATACACATATATATACATACATAGTTCCTCTTTTATAGATAGTGATGTAAAATACCTGGGTATTTAAAACTCGGGGTAAATACCCTGGGTATTTACCAGGGTAAATACCCAAAATCCATAAATACCCGGATATTTAGGGTATTTATGAAATCGATCAAATTCATTTATATTTACCCCTAAATATGTTATTGTTATCATTACATGATAAATTAGGATAGTCTATAACACCTTTTACAGTAACTTGAAGCTTTGCTAGTACCTTTTATTTAATGATTTATCACTTTTTTTTAAAGGAAATCAAGGCAACACCTCATCAGAGAAATAGTGAACCTAAACCTACGTCTACTGTTATTAAATTATGATGTAGTTACAATTTTTATTGTATAAATGGCTTGGAAGGCTAGACAGACCCAAGGCCTGACAGACCTAAGGTCTGATTGACATAGGCAGAATGGCAGAATACTAAAAGTAATTAAAATTTTCTGTGTTACCGCTTAGTTGGAAACAATAACATATTTGGATAAACCTACTAAAAAAATTTATCTCCTGTTTTTTGGTCTAACTTAATATAATTTTGAAAGATTTATTGTGCTATAGATTTAAATGTTTTGTATCACAAGTTTACAAAATTTGTTTTTTTTTTTTTATACCATCGATACCAACAAAAGATCTAGAAGAACAAAAATATTATTAAATCCTGCCATCCTACAGATTGAATTTTAATTATTTTCTTAAGTTGTTTACACATAGGCCACTACTAGGTTAAATATTCCTGTCTTTCTAAATAATAATATTACTTTACACATTTTTTTTTGTTTAACTTACAATAAAATAAATTCATCTATTTATCATAGAAATTTAAAAAATCATAAGTAGTCAGGACCAGTGCAACCATGCGACCAAGGTATTTATGCCGATTATGCTTTATGCTCAGACCTGGGTATTTATGGCGATTATACCCAGAGTTAAAATGCTAGTAGTGACCATATGAAATTTTGTTTAACACATTTTATCACCATTTTACTATCCTTACAGGATAATAATTGCAATAAAACATCTCAATCTTTTCTAACTTTAATAAAAATTATAAATAGGCTACCCAGTTTTTGGGTACTTACCCGGGCCTGGGGTAAATACCCAATTTATATTTACCTACCCACTGGGTATTTACCCGGCCCACATCACTAGATAGTAAACTTTTGGTAAACCAAATGAATGGTATCACTCACCGAGTGTTGAGCGTTGAGGTTCTGTTCGCTCTCCAGTATTTGGTCGTGTAGAGCCGCCTGCTGGGATGTCAGCTGTTCCATCGTCCGCAGTGAGGTGGCCGGAGGTGCCTGTACTGGCGTCTGGGCCACCACAGCTGCCTGCGCCTGACTCTGTTGAGCAGCCAGCCATTGCACCAGCGACTGACCTGTCAACAGCATTGTTTATGAATACATTTGTGTTATGTTATTTCTTGCCTCAAGATTATGTAGAAGACAAAAATTGGATTACTTTAATAGTTTTCATTAAAATGGCGTAAATATTTCTTCAATACAATCCAAATATTGCTATTTTAAAATAAAAGACACCATCAACTAGTGAATTAATTGTCCGATATATTTTAAATGCTGAACATTTCGCTGAGTGAAAATTAACTGCAGAGCAATACTGGAAGTATTTTCAAACCAAATCAAATCTAATCAAGATATTCTTTATTTGTAGTTTCATTAAGAAAATACTATGGCATCATACAATAATATAACTTAAAACTAGAGTACAAGAATTTTTATGGCTTAGTACATAGATGGACTGTGAAATTGCAAAAACAGTGTTTAAGAGGAGACTATGAAAAATTGTTATTTTAATGTAAGTGCGTAACAATATGATGAGAAATCTAGTGCAGTGCAAGTTAATGATTCAGATCGGATTAAAGAACACAAACAATTTTGAAAAAGATACAAACTCCTGGTTATCTCCAAATCAAACCTAAGCAAGACTTCTCTGTCTTTAAATAAGAAATAACAAGCTATGCTAACAGCAATGAACAAGAAAACTAAATATTTACTACATTACAAAATATAAAAACATATTTACCGATAGCTGCACTGTCTGTTACGGGATGGGGAACAGGACCAAGAAAACTTCTAGCATAGAGGTAATAGTAGGCATTGCAGTTGAGGAAATGATGGTTGGGATCATGGGGGTAAGGAATGGATGAGGTTTCACAATCCCTTACGTTTGACATATCTACATGCAGAACCGGATATTAGAACAATAGTATGTATTGTTGCTTCATTTCTTTAAATTCTATACAGGTTATCGGTTTTATCATTTTTGGTATTAACATAATTTAGTTGAAACAACACACAACAAATATAGGCCTAGTTGAATTAGAACCAAATTTATGTACACTTTAGGCCCTAGTGGTTATTTTGTTTTTTTCTATACGAGGCAAATATAATTCGATTAAGGTTAATATGGCCTTATACCAAATAGTTAACATTCCTATTGTATGTATTGTATATGTAGGCCTATATGTATGTTGTATGCTGTATATGTATTGTATGTTGTGTTGTTGTTTGTAGGAGCATCACAATTAGGTAGCACTATTAGGAAAATAGGTTAGCCTAAGTGTTTGGGCGTTTCGGAGGAAATAAAACTTTGGCTTGCTTTTTCCTTCCAGTATTTATCTAACTACTGTAATGTGTCTCAATCTTTTCCACGGATGTGCGCTCCCTGGAGGTTTAAATGGTTTGTATTGCAAACCAACAGTAATTTCATCGTTTCCAAATTTTTCTCCACAAACCTAATAATTTTCCTTAAAACATTTGTTAACCATTAAGATGTAAGCAAAACAATATTAGTTATCTGAAGGATATTTGTTCAGTATCCTACCTATACAAAATTCACTAGGTTAAAAGAACATATTTCTTACAACAAATTAGTATTTCACCTCAACTTACCTCCGATGTTGAGGGAAGGTTGACCCTGGTTGTTGAGGATTACATTTAGTCCCTGCGGTCCAGTGCCGACGTTGGCATTTTGGTTCTTCTGTTTTAAAACTAAAAGAAATCAAATAATGCATAGAGGATAGGAAGTTATTAATTGTTTTATATTTGACAACAAACACAAATCTGGTAAAAAGTGTACCTACCTACAGTTCCCTAGTTAGTGACTATGGCTAACCGATATGGTTAATCTAAATCAAATCATTTATTGGCGTATTACAATTTAGTACGATAAAAACTGCATCACCATAAAAGTATAGACTGCGGTAAGTGAAATTATTATAGTTATCTTTAATTAAACTCTAATTAAACTCCTCTACTTAAAAATATTAACTGTTGTTGGAAGACTCTTGAGGTAGGTATTTAAATTTAAAAAACAAAATAATGGACGACTCGTCAACAACAGATAATAACCAAAATAGATAAACACTCTTATTATATCAAACCTTTGGCTATTGATGCAACTAGATATTCCCTCCCCATGTAGTTGTCACCAGTTTTTAAATCAAGATTATTACCTAAGTTAGATGAAGTGAGTCACAGATTGTAAGTTACTGATTCCTGACTAATATGAAGACTTTTTAACCAAGTCAAACTAAAAATAACCTCTTTTATGTCATATATAAGATCAGTAAAAAAAAATTAGATAGAATATAGAACATTTATATTAGCGCAAACTCTCTAAACTATGTGCTTTTTCACAAATAAATTGTAGAGAGCTGTGCTAGATGAGATGTCTACTTTAGTATTCAAAAGTTTAAGAGAACACTTAAAAACATTAGACCTGTTTGTTTATCTAGGCCTAGGCTATAAGATAAAAATACATACTTGCTTGCTCAGTAGTAACTTTATACTGATAGTAGTTGAAAAATTCACCACCAAAGAGAAAGCTAAATTTAGCATTTCCTTTTTGTTTATTTTTCGTCATCTGTTCAAACTCTGGGCCATTTCTAGCAACAAATTTGGCCAATTTGTCAATGATGTTTTTCAGTTCAATATCTGGAAAAAATTAGGCTAGTTAAAAAAAAAACAACTTAAATAACCATTAGTAGTTAGGCCTAACTTGAATAGAAATTTTAAATAGGTGGAGGTAGTAAAAATAATCCCTACTTGAATTTTGTATCTTCAAGACCTATTAGGATAGGATGTTTTAAGATAGAGATTATCATTTTTGTATGGAATTAAATAGGACTTTTGCTAGCCTAAATAAATTTAGCTAGAGAAGACCACCATCTTATGCAGATGTTATTTAACTTATGTGTGCTCCTAAGTTTCTTCCCATCCTACTACTAGTTATACAGTTAAGGTCTACTCTGTGCAAGGTACATAGTGGTAGAGCGCATGACTTCGGACCCAGGCTCAAATCCCGCTAATCACCAACAAATTTTATTGATGTGATTATCTTATGCCGTAACCCTCTTGGTCTAGCCTGAAGTATAATGTTTAAGAATAATACCAACTAGTATTAAAAAAAAAGATTCCAGGGTAGGTCCGAAACGTTATATATCAAACTAATATTTCATCCGATGGTAGCTTAGGTTCTGCGTGGAACCAATGAATACAAACCCTTTAAGAAGCGCAATGCCTTTATAAAAATTCAGTCTGGAAATAATTTGAATTTTGGATAGCCTAGTTCCTGCGACGGGCCACTAGGTAGACTATCGTGAGTGTGGGGCCAAGTCAGCTGACTGAGTGAGAGAGTGAGACAAGGAATTGGCTTAGAAAGAGAGATTAGGCCTACCAAAACGCGAGCGATCATAGTGGCAGCCGCGCGAAACTGATTTCGGCGGCAAAATTCCAGTCTGACTGTTCTCCATTTAAACGTTTCGCTTCTTAAAGGGTTTGTATTCATTGGCGGAACTGTACTAGCATCAAGTAGGTAGCCTAAATCTTAAATAAAATAAAGGAAACAATAGGCCTAAGCTAGTTAACTTACTTATCGCTAATGGAATGATCCTACTAAGAAAAGGTTAAAACTGGCCTAAGTAGGCTACATTATCTACGGGATTAGGCCCTAAGTTAAATAGGAATTTTCTTTTTTCAAAGTTTAGCTAAACTTATTAAAATGTTTATTGTAGGCCTATTACAAAAAGAGTTGGAGGGTACAGTTTCTTAACTGGGCAACGCTAGGCCTTCTACCGATTGAAAATATCGATTAGCTTAGTATTAAACTTTCAATCGTTAAGTTTGGTTGGGTTATAACATCAATTGAATGAAAGTTAACTTATCATATTGATATTTTCAATCGATTTTAGCATAGCCCAGTTAAGAAACTGTACACAAGTTGGACTAGCCTATGTTCAAAAGTGTATCATTGATTTTCTCACCCTTCAAAAGGTAATTTAAATCAATCTAATGTAGTTTTAAAATGTGACATTGGGTGTAAGTTAACAGTCCTAATTCAAAAAACTTTCAGTGAATAGCTAAAATCTACAATTTAAAATAGGCCTAGGTAAAGGTCCAAATAACCTTTTTTAGGCTACACAAAAATAGTGAGGCTAGTTTGTTTGTAATTATTCGAGATACCATAATATCATTGACTGTTGGATAATGAAGTTGTATTAATAGTCAAAGCTAAATAAGTAAACAACAAACTGAATAAAAATCAATTAACCTAGTCAAAACCTAGGTAAACTAACTTACTTACCCTGTGGGGGTTTTGGGATATCCATATCGAGAGATGAATTAAAGGTAGTTTTTTAAAACGATGTCCTTAAATAAGGAATTCAAAAGCGATTTGAAAGAGCGTTTGTTGTGATTTTTCTGTCATGTTTATGAAGTTAAAGATAGTATTAACACGGTCTAAACTGTCTAAATCTAAATAACGAGACGAGAAACAGGTTAGGTTAGAATTATGCCGCAAGACAGCGTCAGCCAACACCAATCGGCAATCACCAATCCAAAAACAAATAAAGTTAAAGAAGAACAAGAAGTAAATTAATATTAAACCGAGAAGAAAATACACTTGCCGTCACAAATAATCCAAAACACCATTGATTATGTACACTTGTAGTATTTAAAAAGTTTAGGTGCTGTTATTAAACTCATAATATTTTTTTTCTAGTAGCATAGAAAGAAACTTTGATATATATTTGCATAGTGTAAAAGGTGGTGGCTCATTAAATATGCAAACCTATGTATATGGCAAACAGTTTCTGTTATGGGGACACTCGGCTGCCTGCAGTGATGCTCTTATTCTGCAGAAGAAGGCGCTAAGAGTTATGGCATCAGCTCATGACCTTGAACACTGTAAACCTCTTTTTAAAGAATTTAGAATCCTCACAGTACATAACCAGTATATTTTCAACTCTCTCAACTACATCAAACAGAATATCAATCTTTATAATGACAGAACTACCATACACCAACATCGAACTCGTAAAGCTCAAAATCTGGAAGTCCAAAGATGCAGGCTGAGAAAAACACAAAAATCCTTTCCAATTGCAGCCATAAAACTATTCAACAGCCTCCCAGCCGACGTGAAAAGCCTCACAACCTCAAATTTCAAGAATCACATCAAACATGAACTTTTAGAATGGCCAGTTTACAACCTGAACGATGCAGAAGGAATCCCACTATTCAAGGGAAAGAAATAACCGAAATAGTCCAGGCAACGAAAGGATATAGAGGGAAATGTTTGGAACACAATTTCTGACTTCGTAACTTTGTTTAGTATAGTTAGGAGGTTAACATACCAAAAGTCCCCGCCTCTAGCCCTTGTGCTGTGGTGGAGGGGGGGGCTTGAAGGTACCATTTTTCAGTTTTTTGCTGATATCTCGGAAACCATGCGTCCAAGCGAAATTATGCTAATATACAACATGAAAGCTTATTAAATTTCCAGCAAGTTTGTAATTTACTGTTTTTCGATATCTTGTATAGTTTTCGCGTTATTTGCTATCAAAAGTTTGTAAATTTGGAAAAATACATTTTTTTCTCCTGTTTTTTGTTCTTTTTGACAAGTTGCCTCTCAAACTATGCACCCAAAAAATAAATGCTGGGCATAGGGTTGTAGAAAATTAAATTCCCTTCAATAATATATATGACTTTACTAGTTTACCTCCTTCCGTTCAGATTTTAAAGCAAATTAACCGTAAGTATGAAAAAAATTAAATTTAAATAAAATTTAAGAAAATTAATATCTAGTGTTGAGCAAGGAATTTAAAGTCTTGCAACAGCTGTTGACTACTTAATATTTCAATTTATCACCTTACACAGTCAACTAATTGGTTGGAACATTCACTAATCAAGTAGCTAAGGTGAGTGATGGGCGTCTAAAAATAGTACATATAGACACTCGTATATGCATAAACATGGTTACAACACCATATTTTCCCATTACAATAGTCTAGCTAGATCATCAAGTGTGAGGAAGCTGGTTAGGCAGCCCACAAGTAGGCTATATATTTTCTATAGGGTATCTGTACTTTTTTTAGACGCCCATCACTCACCTTAGCTACATGATAGTGAATGTTCCAACCAATTAGTTGACTGTGTAAGGTGATAAATTGAAATATTAAGTAGTCAACAGCTGTTGCAAGACTTCAAATTCCTTGCTCAACACTAGATATTAATTTTCTTAAATTTTATTTAAATTTAATTTTTTTCATACTTACGGTTAATTTGCTTTAAAATCTGAACGGAAGGAGGTAAACTAGTAAAGTCATATATATTATTGAAGGGAATTTAATTTTCTACAACCCTATGCCCAGCATTTATTTTTTGGGTGCGTAGTTTGAGAGGCAACTTGTCAAAAAGAACAAAAAACATGAGAAAAAAATGTATTTTTCCAAATTTACAAACTTTTGATAGCAAATAACGCGAAAACTATACAAGATATCGAAAAACAGTAAATTACAAACTTGCTGGAAATTTAATAAGCTTTCATTTTGTATATTAGCATAATTTCGCTTGGACGCATGGTTTCCGAGATATCAGCAAAAAACTGAAAAATGGTACCTTCAAGCCCCCCCCTCCCCCACAGCACAAGGGCTAGAGGCGGGGACTTTTGGTATGTTAACCTCCTAACTATACTAAACAAAGTTACGAAGTCAGAAATTGTGTTCCAAACATTTCCCTCTATACCCTTTTTTTAGCATTCGTTGCCTGGACTAAAAGGCATTTGACGCAGTCAATCCCACAAGCTGGGTCAAAGACGAAGACATCAAGTATTAAGTAAGTAAGTATAACCATTGACAATTAAATTATAATGAAAGGTATAACATATTGAAGATTTAATTGGTAATTGTTCAATTACCATCATTTTTGCGTTAAAAAAGGAGAAGATTATGCTTTCTGCCACATTGAAAAATCATAATCTTGGCATTTTTTAACTATTGGAAATAAAAAAAAATATGAAAACTATTATTGTAAATAAAAAAAACATAAAATTATACTATTGTTTTTTAAATGTTTTGTTGTAATCAAATTAATTTTGTTGTAATGCTTAGTTATTTCATAATATACACTATGTTTTAAACCACATAACTACGTAGGTAACACTAATACTTCATACTAACTAGTACCAGTACTTATTAACTACTTATCAAAGGGAACTACAGTATTTAATATAGTAATGAAAAGCCAGTCTTGATAAGTTGAATGATTAAGAGCACATTGGCTAACAATGCACTAATAGCTATGTAATCAATGTAAATTTGATCACATGTTTTTTTATATAGATAAATTTCCTCCCTTTTAACAACAAACAAATCTGAAATTATTTCCTTCTTGAGGTGAGTTTTTATTGTTATTATTAAAATTGTCACTTGTGAGTGCACTGTAAGTTGTAGACATTACTGTAATACCAAGCAAGATGTTCAGACAGTTAGTTAAATTATTGAATCCAAGCAAATTAAATTTGAAGTTTCAAAGATTTTACTCTCCTCACAATGACCCTTGTGGTTTGCCTCCTTACCATTCTTGGGACCCCAATGCAGATGGCCTTTCATGTGAGGGTAAAATTGCTGATGGGTCAGGTTTAATTCTGGGAGTGTATTACGATGAAAAGGACTATTTAAATCAAACCATCTGTTTAACAAAAGCTGCAGCTTTGTTCAATCACAATATCAATGGGAAGCTAGTTGAACAGTTGAAGGCTTTTGGTCCATTGCCAAAGTTGGGGGAAGTTAGAACTTTTACCCAACTAGATCCTGCTTATAACTTGGTGACGGTTGTTGGTCTTGGAGACAACAATGTGGGGTATGTAAAGCAGGAAGCACGAGACGAAGCTAAAGAGAACATCAGGAAAGCTGTAGGAGTAGCGTGTAGAGTGTTACAAGACCACTTTGTTGATAAAGTTTATGTGGAAGGATTTGAGGATCCTGAGTCAGCTGCAGAAGGAGCTGTGCTGGCTCTATGGGGCAATCAGCACTTGAGAGACCCTACAAACCGGACCATTAAAGTACCAGATATCATGCTGTATGGGGATTGTGATTGGAAAAAGTGGCGTATTGGCTTGGAAAAAGCTGAAGCACAAAACTTTGCAAGAAGGTTAATGGAGGCCCCGGGAAACTTGATGACTCCCAGGAAATTTGCCTACGCTGTAGTTCAGTCACTTTGCAAAACCAGTGTTAATGTCACATTACGGGGAGAACAATGGCTGAGAGAAAATAATATGAATGCTTTCCTCACAAACACTCAAGGATCTCCACAACCACCATGCCTTCTGGAAATCGATTACAATGGTTGTGATTCATCTGTTCCTCCAATAGTTTTGATCGGTAAAGGTTTAACATATAACAGTGGGGGTCTCTGTCTAAAAACATGTGACCAACAAAAGTACATGAGAGGAGACATGGCAGGCGGAGCAGTTGTTGTAGCCGCTTTTAAAGCTCTGGCAAACCTTGGTTTACCAGTAAACGTTCGTGGTTTAATACCTTTGGGGGAAAACATGCCTGGCGGAACAGCAGGGAGACCTCGGGACATTGTTAAATCTACAAGTGGAAAATCAATATTAGTTGCCAACCAAGATTTTGATGGAAATCTTTTGCTGGTCGACACAATCTGCTATGCTCAGCGTTTTAAACCTAAATACATTGTCAGTTTAACAACAATGAGCAAAGAAATTCGTACTTCATTTGATCTTGCTTGTTCCGGTCTATTTAGCCGAAATGAAAAACTGTGGCAACTACTTAAAATATCTGCTGTCCACTCTGGAGACAGACTATGGAAGTTACCGCTGTGGCAAATGTACGAGAGAGAAATAAAAGATGTCACATGCTCTGACCTTTCAAACCTGGTGAAGTATGAGAAAGGATTAGCTTGTTCTAATGCTCAGTTTCTAAACCAGTTTACTTGTAAGGACAACTGGGCGCATATAGACATGTTTGGGACGATGTACGAGATAGGGAAGACACCTTATTTGAGAAGAGGAATGTCAGGTAGACCTACAAGAACTTTGATCGAATTCCTTGGACAAATAGCTTACCCTCCACTGGACATTATTGAAAAAGAACAATCTGCAGCTGAAGAGACAGAATAAAACTGAAAGTGGCAAAAGAAGCTGATTTAAAATTACTTGTCATAACTGGGTGCTGATTGGTGAATCAGTAAATGGAATTGGGTGGAATAATTTGAAATTTTGTTAGCAAACTCTGTTTTGATTCAACTAATACATTCTTTAACTAATTAGTTGTACTAATAAAATATTGGTCACTTATTTTGTTTTGTTTCATTTTTTTTAGAGGTTGGCGGTCTCTTTTAATCTTGCATTTGTTCATCCACATAGACTAACACTGCCCGAGCATGGAACGTATCCATCCAGCAAAGCAAGGGGTGAGCATGTACAGTACGAAGGTGAAC